TTGAATGCATGTTTGTAGCTCAGTTATATAAGATGTGGAAACAGATAGAAACATAAAGTATACATCGACTATTTAGCTTACGTATATTATTTTAATTATGTTACATACTTAATTTACATCACAAGAGAACATACTTGTCATTTAATCAAACTGTGATATGTTTCTATGCTCTCACCACCTAGCCAACCAACCTAAGACAAAGCAGCATTCTTTTGGACTCGGCTTTTGGTTTGCATCCAAGCCATTTACGAAAATGTTGTGGATCCGATGTAACACTCACAACATTAAAGAATAAGACAAAGAGGAATCAATAAAACATAGACACAGAGATGGCTGAAGTCACATATTATATTGCTGTACAGCATTATAAGAGACACATTACCTTTCAACAAAGCAGTCTATAGCGTAATGTCCCAGAGTCTAAGAGAATCTCAAAGCTTATATGCTACTCAAAACTGCATGCGCAGTTTGTTAGGGAATCATTTGCTTAGGTATTCAACCTTCGACCCACTTCATCATTTTCTCCTCACTGTCTCCTTTCCCACGGCTTAGGTCTACGGCCTTGGGTATCGCTGCTATCTCTCTTAAGGAGGAGCAGCTTGGACGCATTGTTGTTGCCAGTCTATGACGGAGCACAAGCCGCCATGAGGTCGTTTACTGTTCAGGGACGAAGGTTCCCTGGCGCACATTCTTTCCTATGGACGAGAGCTCTAGTTAGATTCAGGGTCCATAATTGTTTAGTCTCACTGATAAAGAATGTTGATTATTACACTCCGAACTAGTTAAAACCTCGAGCTACAGAAAGAGTTCTTAAGAATTGGTTTGGCAACCGCTGTGTCAACTCGTGACACACCACCTGTCTTGTCAATTCTCCGGCCGTAACTCCAAATAAACCATCAGTGTTTTCCATCAAAGCTCCAGCTCTCCTCGTGTCTCTCTGAGTCCTGTTTCCAATTGCTTCAGAAGTTTCCCCCACACAGTTGACCTCTGACATGACAAAATATTGTATTGCATTTTCTGTCCCCTCTGTCTTTAAATAATCCCAGGTTCCATGACTCTTTTCTTTAGTAATACCTTGTGTAGAGAACTCGTTGGTCTCAGAAATAGATCGGCCTCTATTTAGAAAATGAAATGGATAACACATCATGGCTTAAAGCACATTATTATATAAATAGCTTTTACAAAAACATACAACTTCAATTGCATTTGGAGACACTGAACTCATTGCAGTACATTTCAAAAGGATTATTTTCATTGAATCTGTTTAAAAAAACACTTTGAAACTAAACTCAAAATAAGTCCTTAGAGCATATTGAATAAGAGTGCCTCAGGGAAGGAACTTTGCAACTATAGTCCCAAGCCTGTTCTGTTATAAATATATCAGTGTGTGGTGGCCAAGCGAGGGATGTTAATGGACATGTTTTAACTACATTCTGTGTGTGTGTTACTGAGACAGAGAAGGAACAGGCATTGGTGTTTATTTGTGAGTGTATGCAAGCCTACAGTAAGCTTCAGCACCTGAGCAGATGCTGCTTCATCTGCATGCAAGTGTGTGTTTGTTTACATGTTTGTATGAGGATGTTTGTTTTTGCATGAGAATCATCTGACAGTGTGAGAGAGCAGATGTTGTGTGTGTGTGTCTATATGCTTTCTGAATGAACGCATGTGTTTGCAGAGTGCCAGTGTCTGGTAGATGGAGGTGTTTGGCTTTCATTTGGGTTTCCTTTTCCTCCATGCTTGTCTTGCAGGGTATATAGCTGTGAGACAAACATCAATCTTTAAGACTCGGCTCAGAATGATGATTTACTGAACAGGAGTTTGTGAATGTCTACATTCAGCCGGGCCTTTTGTTTTCGAAGTTGTTGTAGAGAGATCTTGAAGACGCCGAGTGGGATTTATTCATTCCCTTACGAGTAAAACTTCATCTTATAGCTCACTGTCAATCTGTCAATTTGTCAGCTCCCAGGAACCGCTTTTATTTCTAATCACATCAGCGCTGAGATTAACTCGAGGGGGCCAGCAGCCATAATCAATTCTTTGTTATTAATAATTAATCCGCTCCGAGTGATAAAATATTCCGTATCAAGTTCAGATGTTAAATGTAGATTTCTGACGGAATCAAGGGGAAATTGAACCATATATTTCTGTTTATGCGGCTCATCATTCGCTTTGAAAGGATGCCAACGCGGCAGGTCGAGCTGAGGAGGCACAAAAGTGCACGGGGAGATGGATGGAGTCGTCGTGCACGGGGATACTGATCATTAGCCCGTGAGGAATGAAAACAAGGATGCAGAGACAAGGCCGAAAGAGGGATAAGGAGAGGTGAACGATGCGGCACGATCTGCTAGGCTTAATGATAGCGCTACAGGCAGCAGACACAGGGTCAGTGCTGAGCTTAACATGAAGCACACTAATTGTATCATCCCTGCATACCTGCTACCATCCATCACCATTGAACAAAACTGAACTGCAAATCCATATTCATAGCTCGGAGAATGACACCATGACAGAAGAAAGCTGACCCCTTTGAAACAGTTTCTGTGTAAATGGGAGAAACATTTTCCAGCAATAAAACGAGGAAGAAGGGGGGGGGGGAGGAGGGAAATAAAAGATCACCTCAGTGTACTCACTTCCTGAGTTGGCCTCAAGGTTAAGATGGCTCGTTATTTTTTGATGGTCCTCGTTAAAGACGTGGAGAGCTCGCGGGGAGTTATTTGAGATTTTTTTCTTTTTTTTTCTAGGGCACTAAAAGGTGTTCCACAGGGCTCCATTCAGGGTCCCGCCTGATCCTGTTCGTCTCAAGTGTCCACACACACTCTTACACACACTCAGCTCAAGGTGACTCCCACCCAGAAACCCTGAAATTCATACTTTTTCTCCCCATGTAGAGAGGGAGATGGTTTTATTTCCTTTGAGGATTAATCTGTGTGTGCTAGAGAAGCGTGTGAATGTTTGAAAAGAAGCCTTATTACTTTTCAATGACACTCTAACCCCGTTTTCCATTATTATTTTTCATAATAATGTTCAACCTGGGATGGCGTCATGAACGACATTGAAATACAACCTCCCAGATGAATGTTTTGTTTATCTTTCATGTCGATGTGTATCTTGTGATAGTTATTGTTATTGCACTGAGACAGAGAGAGCAGGAGGAATATTCTCAATATATTTTCTTTGTCCTCCTTCGTTGTGTATAATTCATTATCTCAGAGTAGTTCCTATTCAAGGGCATTACTCAGAAAATGAAAGTCGTTGGGATGTTGTGGCAAATTGGACTGGTGAGCATCTGAATAATATCCAGCCAATCAGGAGCTAGACATAATACAGAATCTGAGAAGTAAAGTCTTGCTTTGAGAGTCAGTTCATTAAGTGAGAGTTTGAATTCTAACTATCTGATGTAGAGGTGTGCGAATGCAAGGGGACTTAGTTAACTAGTGTGTACTCCTTGGTAGATTTGGAGAAGGCGTATGACCGGGTTCCCAGGGAGTTACTGTAGAAGGTTAGAGAGTATGAGGTGAGGGGGTCTCTATTCAGGGCCATCTCTGTACTCCCAAAGCGAGATCTGTGTCCGGGTCCTCGGCAGTAAATCGGACCCATTTCTGGTGAGGGTTGGCCTCCGCCAGGGCTGCGCTTTCTCACCAATCCTGTTTGTAATATACATGGATCGGATTTCGAGGCGTAGTCGTGGGGGAGGGGGTCTGCAGTTCGGTGGACTAAGGATTGCACCACTGCTTTTTGCAGATGATGTGGTTCTGATGGCTTCATCGGTATGCGACCTTCAGCACTCACTGGATCGGTTCGCAACCGAGTGTGAAGCACCTCCAAATCTGAGGCCATGGTTCTCAGCAGGAAACCGATGGACTGTCCACTCCAAGTAGGGAATGAGTCCTTACCCCAAGTGAAGGAGTTCAAGTATCTCGGGGTCTTGTTCTCGAGTGAGGGAACAATGGAGCGTGAGATGGGTCGGAGAATCGGAGCAGCGGTCGCTTTACTGCACCGTTGTGACGAAAAGGGAGCTGAGCTAGAAGGCAAAGCTCTCTGTTTACCGCGCCATTTTCGTTCCTACCCTCACCTATGGTCATGAAGGATGGGTCATGACCGAAAGAACGAGATCGCGGATACAAAGATGATGGATGCAAGGAGACGTATTGTGTGAAGATAAATGGAAGATGTTGTTTAATTGCTAATATATTTATGATCCACGTCACGTATTCAGTTTTGTCAAAAGGTCTTCTGATCAGGGCTCTATAAATAAATATCTACAGCAGATATGTAATATTTAATGCAGCCGAACCGTGTATTACAATGCCGTTATGTGATGACTTTCAAAGAGAAAAGCAAGAACACTTGGAATAAAATATTATTTAAAAAAAGTTTTTCCGATTTCATATTGCATAAACACCATATCCCGACATACATGCGGATTGTAACATACCTATCAGAGCGCCGGTAATTATTGCGAAAAACTAAGCTAAAGACGCTCTTCACATATAAAATGAATCTTAGTGCAGGTTAGCTATACATCCTAGATATCATAACGATCTATAATGCGGTTCTACTAAACTGCCATAGCGTCGATCGGAGGTACATGGTGCAATGCCACTTTTGTCATAAAGGCCTGACTCCGAAAAGTATTAGTTGTGCCTGGTCTTACGCTCAAATTGTCACTAGTTGAGGACCTCGACGTAGTGGATTTTTTGTAGTCAAATAGGAACTAATTAATATGCTGTACATAACCACATTTAACACAGTTAGAAAACACATAAAGGGTATCCAAAAAAGAGAAGCTAGACTCTCTGTGGAAAGAACGAAAGTCTCCAAACTTCCGATTTTGTAACTAACNATGCCTGAGAAAAAATAAAATGTTGTTAAAGGTAGGGTAGGTAAGAATGGAGAAACTTTTTTTCGGTTGTGTACTTTCAAATTCTAGCTTACTCGAGCTGGTTTCTCCATTCTTACCTACCCTACCTTTAACAACATTTTATTTTTTCTCAGGCATCATCCACCAGATGAAGGGGGAGTATGACACAGCCCTGAAGCTCCACAAAGCCCACCTGTCCTTCGCCCAGGAGCTGAGTGATTATGCTGCCCAGGGGAGGGCGTACGGTAACATGGGTAATGCCCATCACGCACTGGGCATCCATGACCAAGCTGTCCGGTTCCACCGACAGGAGCTGCAGATCTCACTGGAGGTGAATCCCCGGGACTCTTCACCAGGGACATGTAGACAGTACACTCATGAGGTAAAAACAGATCAGTGAAATGTTTTTGTCTTTCAGGTGAATGACCGCCCGTCCCAGGCCTCCACACACGGGAACCTGGCTGTAGCCTATCAGGCGCTGGGGGCTCACGACCGGGCTCTGCAGCACTACCTTCACCACCTGACCATCGCTCGAGAGCTGCAGGACACTCAGAGCGAAGCACGAGCACTAGGCAAGCTAGACAGAGGAAGATGAATTCAGACAAATCATTGGGATTTCATTGATTTTAAGTTCTAATGTTTTATGTTTTATTTTCCAGCAAACCTGGGTAACTTCCATAGCTGCAGAGGGGAGTACGCTCAGGCTTTGCCGTACTACCAGCAGTACCTGGCTCTGGCTCCAGGCCTGCAGGACCTGGAGGGAGAAGGCAAGGTGTGCCACAACCTCGGCTACGCTCACTACTGCCTCGGACAGTACAGAGACTCTGTCAGGTCAGAGACTTCTTTCATCTCACACAACAAAGCTTTATAGGAAGGGCAAGAGGTTTTTTCAAGAGAAATAACGTCTTTCCTGTCATTTTTAACTTCACAGACAAATTTGAATTTGTAGTTGAGAGGCCAAAGTTCAAAAATATATCAAATTAGACAGAGCAAGTTTTGGGACTAGGCAGCTAAAATATTTCTGTTTAATTGGATGGTGCAGTTTTGGGGTTTGACTATCTCCCTCAGACTTAACATTGTATTATCATAAGACACTGTCAAACTGTGGAATAAGATGACTGTTTAAACCTTAGGGTTACTTAAGTGGGAAAAAAAGAACAACTACTGTATATGTCTAGGTTTTATTGACTTGATGCATACATTAACTCAACTCTATATATAAAATGTATGTCCACATACATTTAAATTCTTGTGTGTTTTTATCATTTCTCAGGTATTATGAGCAGGACCTGGCCTTGGCTAAGGACCTCCAAGACAAATTAGCCCAGGCTAAAGCCTACTGTAACCTTGGCCTGGCCCACAAAGCACTGGGGGAGTACAAGAAGGCAGAGGAGTGTCAGAGATACCTGCTCTCTCTTGCTCAAGCCTTGGATAACACTCAGGTCAACTACTACTACTGCTGTGTTCACTAACTGTAAAAACATAACCTGTACACGGGAAGTGGTTGTTAATCATGTGGTTGTATTGTCAGCAGGCGGTTTTCAGGGCCTATGGGAACCTGGGAGATGTGTGTGTGTGTCGGGGTGATCTCCCAGGAGCTGTGAGGTTTCACCAGCAGCAGCTCAGTCTGGCTCAGAAGGTCAAGGATCAGAAGATGGAGGCTGACGCTTACTCTGCACTTGGATCAGTTCACAGGTAATAAAGTTAACAAGTATCAGAAGGAGACTCAGAATTATATTAGCAAGTAGATTCAAGATTCAAAGGATTTAATGTCATATGCACGTAAGCTATAGTGTAGAAATGACAATGAAAATCTTATGACCCAAGCTCCTCCAAAAAAGCAACATAACATTTTGTAATAAAATACTAAAATAAAATAAGAAAATAGTGCAAGAAGTTTATATACACGTAAATAGAATATGATATATACAAGAACAGAACGGAAAATTAAATATTTCACTAAGCTGAAATGAAATAGGTAATAGTAGGTTTACTCATACGAGGAATTTTCGTTGGTATAAATCAGGAGTACTCAAACTTTTTTATTAAAGGTCCACTTGTGAATAGTAAAGTTTATTTTGTATAATTTAATTTTTTTACAATGGGACACAGGCTTCGGTCCGGATTGATTTGTAGTTTGGTCCTGAGTTTGAGAAGCCCTGGTATACAGTAAATGGTTCATACACAAAAAGGATACGTGGCACAAAATAGTACTAGAAGCTATTTTAAAAATATATATATTTTAAGGCTATTGTAAGACATTTAAAATAAAGATATTATTAACACAAAATATAAATATGTGAGAAACTCAGTACATTAAAATATGAAAAATACTATATTCAAAGTGGAGAGCTGTGCAGATTTAAAAAGAGGTAGTGTGGAGCGGAAATGTAATCCTTACCCTCTCGCTTCTTCTTTTACCTCTCTATTGTCTCTTCTCTAGGATGCTCCGCCAGCTCGATACAGCCCTGTCCTTCCACAGCCAGGAGCTGACCGTGCGTAAGGATCTGGGTGATCAGCAGGGGGAGTGCCGTGCCCTGGGCCACCTGGCCGCGGTTCACATGGCCCTGGGAGACTATGCTACAACCTTCCAGTGTTATGAGGCCCAGCTCGGCCTGGCGCAGGGTCTCAGGGACGCCCGTCTGGAGGCCCAGGTTCATGGGAACATGGGCATCACCAAAATGAACATGGGGGTGTTTGAGGAAGCTATTGGATATTTTGAGCAGCAGCTGGCCATGCTGCAGCAACTGAGTGGCACTGAGAGCATGCTGGACAGAGGCAGGGCGTATGGGAACCTGGCAGACTGCTATGACGCTCTGGGAGACTATGAGGAGGCGATTCAGTACTATGAGAAATACCTGACAGTGGCTCAGAGTCTCAACCATGTTCAGGACCAGGGGAAAGCCTACAGAGGACTGGGCAATGCACACAGGTAGACAAAACGAAATGCACCTAATCACATATTTCCTAAGTTAGATGTTAAGATCAAGACCACTCTAATATCTGTATGTAAATGTTAAGTTACAGCCAGCAGCTGTTTAACTCAACACATAAACAAAACTAAAGACAGGCTTTGAACCCTTTAATTACAAATGCAGGGTTCATACCAAAATGTGTAAAATAAGTAGTCCTGCATCCCCCTTCTGTAGCTTTACATTTAAGTGTATTTCCCAAAATATTTTACTATTTAGATTTGTTATCGTCCTACTGTATATATGATGACTGCACCCACGTTGACTGGTAGTAAAATGTGCAGCTTTAAAAAAACCTCTTAAATAAATACTGATTAAGGAAACTTTATTAAATGTTCCCTTACCGGCTAGAACAACGGCAAGTTAAACATCTAAAACTTTAAAAAGTTAGTCATGCCATGGAAGCAAATCTCTACATTTCTGTTAATATGTATGTTATGTATATCATTTGCTTTCCTATCAGTTTGGATGCCGGGACGACATTCCTCCAAGAATCTCAAATGAGCATTTCTTGCCTCAATCATAAACATTTGAAATGAGTGCCATGAAAGTAATGAAAATAATCATAATTCACTAACAGTAAGAAGCAGCAGTGCTGATCGGAGTGGTTTCCTCGCTTTTTTCAGAGGTTACATCTCCTCATTTCTCACATGAAGCCATACAAGTAATGTTCACTGAAGAACAAGGCTTAATGACGGGTTTCCTTTATCCATCTGCTGTAGTCTGTTCTGCTCTCTGGAGTGTGAATGAGATGGAAATGAGGAGAGGAGTCACTGTTTTATCTCATTGAATACAGCCTTTGTAGATGTTTCAGTTTTTTTTGGAGGATACAGTACTGAACTCTTTTCTACAGCTTCAAAATCTACATTATTCTCCTATTCCCCTTATTGTATGCTTTCATTAATTGGCCATATGGGTCTCTCTCTCTGCTGTGAAAAACACATCGTATGGGTTTAAAAAAACTTGAAGTACGGTACGTTTCATTCAAGGGTTTGATAGAACAAATAAAACACAAAGAAATGATGCTCAGGCCTTTTGTTTTTGTCTCTTCAGGTCCATGGGTAGTCTCCAGCAAGCACTGGTGTGCTTTGAGAAGCGGCTGGTGGTAGCACATGAGCTGGGGGGGGAAGGAGGGGGCAAGGCACAGGCCTACGGGGAGCTGGGCACCTTACACAGCCAGCTGGGCAACTACGAGCAGTCCCTCTCCTGCCTGGAACACCAGCTGAACATCGCACGCACAGCGGGGGTGAGCATTTACCTGCAAAGTGTTCTTGTTTCTGCTGACGACTTCACTTTCCGGCCCCTTTTGAATATGTGAAATATAACAACATGTCTCTTTTTTTTGATTACATGTATATTATGCACAGAAAAATATTGTAAATCCTTTTCTTAACCAACAGGATAAATCCCTGGAAGCAGAGGCAAGTGATGCTCTCGGAGGTGTTTATCAGCGGATGGCAGACAACGAGACAGCGCTACAGGTTGGTGTAGATCCAAAATACATCATGATTAGGTATTTAGAGGAAAAGTTTGACATTTTGAAAAAAAAAAAGCTTATTTGATTACTTGCCAACATTTTAGAAATATTGTACTACTCTTTTGCCTAAAATATAAAGATAAAGCCAGCAGCTAATCATCTTAGCTTGGCATAAAGACTGTCCAACTTGCAGAAACTTGGCGAGCTCTACACACTGTTTTTTGTACAGACTACACACAAATACACATCTTGTGAGCTTTAGAGATGCTAATAGGTCGATTTGTTTACTTTCTGAAACAGCCAAACTAGCCGTTTACCCCTGTTTCAAGTCTTTATGCTAAGCTAAGCTAGCTGGGAGCAGGCTGTAGCTTCATATTTACTGTACACACATGATAATGGTATCAAACTTCTCATCTAACTCTAAGCAAGAAAGTGCATTATCATAATTCCAACATTTTCAAACTACCCCATGAAATAATCACACTTCCCTGCTACAGTGGCACCAGCGAGCTTTGGATATAGCGGAGCAGACGGGCTGTGTGAGGAGCCAGGGTCGATCCTACGGGAACCTGGGAATGACCTACGAAGCTTTAGGGAAGTATGAGCGGGCCGTGGTCTTCCAGGAGCAGCACCTGAGTGTGGCGGCACAAACCAACGATCTGATCGCCAAAACTCTCGCCTACGGGAGCCTGGGGAGGACACACCATGCACTGCAAAACTATGCACAGGCTGTGATGTACCTGCAGGAAGGTAAGAAATCCGCTGCAGAGCTACTGACTGGAGTTATTATACGGTTAGCAGCATTGTAAAGGAACATTTAAAATAGTTTCCAGTATTTTTGTATTTATAGATGACTAAATAAGCAATATTTTTGTATTCTTTGATAATCTCCTTATTCTGGATTTCTCTATTTATTATTCTGTCGATATGGTGTCAGAAAAAAGTCAAGAATGCCTGAGACTATTTTTTTTTTAATTGTCATCTGCTTTTCTGAGTATCGACAAATTCATTAACTGAATCATTTTCAGCTGAAATCCCCTGAATATCTGTCAATGCCACACACAGAAAATGTTTCTACCTTGCCGAAAATTAGCTAAAGAGTGACTCTACATTCTGAAATTACTTTTTGGCTTGCGTCATAAATACCCTTTAGTACATTTCATATGTTCACCAGTGAATGATAGCCGCACAAATCCAAATAATTGATCATTATGACACTATGATATCTGATATGTGACAGAAAAGTTCCTGAATGCTCCATTAAACAACAGGACCTTATGTAATACTGATGGATTGAGAGGTATGTAGTCCCACCTGAATCAAGATGCAGCATATGATTGAAAGGATATTTTGATTTCGGCATTTCCACTATGTTTAAAAGCAGTCTGTATTGCTGACACACATCAACAAACTCTCAACTTGATGAAAGGGAGCGATAAAGTTATAGCAGTCTTACCATCGCCTGCAGTCACACACTCTCTGCAGAGACTTTGATCTACATGTGCGTTTCTTATTTTAAAGTCAGAGCTGTTTTATTGGCCTGAGAACATTGTGAGTTGTATTTCTGATACCATCCAGAAGCCTGAAGGGTATTCATGAGTCACAGGCCAATAGAAAATCTGTGTTTTGGTGCTAACCCTCAGTGTTGTCCTTTAGGCAGCTTGTAACTTCTATAGCTAGACCAGGGGTTCCCAAACTTTTTCAGCATGAGACCCAAAACAGAAATGTTGTGGTCCTAAGCGACCCAAGCTCAAAAAATGTCATGATTTTCCATAATATCTACAGTTATAAACAAAGAATGCAACACACCATGAATTTAAAATGTAAATGAAAATATTTATTTAATTATAAAAGTGCATCGCAGCAATTAGGTTTCTCACCATAACAACCTTCCCTTTGAGCTTGCCCAGAAAAAATAAGGATCAAAGCAGAAAGACGAAACATGGGACGTGCAGTCAATATACAGTACAAATTTCAATTATACAATTATCAAAAGTGCAATATTAAGTTTGTCGCTAGCTCAAAAACTATGTACACACCATTTTAAACTATTTTAAATGAACAAAGAACAAACATGTTGTAAACAGAAAGGGACAAAACACTAACTATAGGATGCAGTCAAGTGTATACAGTACATCACAGGTGAAACCAAATTTAAATTCTAAGAAGTGCAACATTAAGTTTGTCACTAGATCAAAAACTATGAACACATATTTTTTAAACACTTTTAAATGAACAGAGCTGTTTTAAAACACTCTGAGAGAGACAAAGAAACTCCAACACTTGGCAACTGATTCACTTTTTTTTTGTGGAGGCTGACTTGCCCTCTGTTTCCTTTGAATGCCTGAAAATAACAGAGAAGATATTATCATTAACAATGCTGGGTTATTGGGTGATTTTTAACACCAGCCGGCGTACGCTATATACCCAATGTGGACCTGGCAACCGCATTTACAGCGCATTACATTACATGTTACTTGTTAGACGCTTTTATCCAAAGCGACTTACATACTCAATACTGTGGAGAATCCCCACAGAGGGATTTTGACAGGGTTATTGCACAAAAGATCCAAGCGCGCACAGAAGAAATCTGAGAGCAGACATTTCACGAGCGCACAGAAACAGCCTGAGTGCGAGGAGAAGGTTTTAAGCTGGAACACAGGAAACCTGTAAGCAGAAATATATCTGAGTGCAAGCGTACAGTTTGAGCAGAAGCAGAGCAAATCTAAGCGCAAGCTGGCACTATTTGAGTGTGAGGACAGGGTTTGAGGGAAAGAAATACATATTCTGAACGTGAAATCAATAAAGTATGCTCTCAAATTTAAAGACCACGCTCTTGAATAAAGATAGGGAATAACCCCCATATGTATTCCTATGTGCATCACACTGCAGCAGTCACCGCGGATACTTTCTCTCGCTTTCCTTCTCATACTGCCTGTCACTTTCCCTCTAATCTTCCTGTGGTTATTGTTTTGAAACACCGCTCTATGCCGCTGCAGAATGTAGTGGACTCGCGGGAGCGAGTAGAGGACGCGCGAGAGCGCGCAGCTGGCGGTCCGCTCCGGGGCTCAGTCAGCATTTCATCCAACTTTGCATTAACGAAACAATTTCACAACAGACCCTGACAAACTCGCAAACAGACAAAACAAATGATTAAAATGAGTGACTTACTTTTCCGCCGTCAAAACACTGCTTCATGAAAGACTCTTCTTTGCAGATGAAAAAATCCTTCGATTTGTCCCGATGCAGAGGATGTTTTGTTTGGAGATGCCGGTCCAATTTATTCATTTTCAAGCTTTCGTTTGAGCACCTCTCCACATAAAACACACTGAGGCCGCTCCTCTCCATTTCTAACAGCTTTTGTGAAGCCAACGCTTAAAAACTCCTCTTTGTATCATCTTTTTGCCATCATGTACGATCGGGATTAATCAACAGACAATAAACAGACAGCGCGAAAACTTTCGCGGGGGACGCGTCAGAGCTGATACAAATACTATCTTTTATTTTTAGTTTATTTATATTTAGAAAATTAAATCATTCAATATACAAAGCTATATTGCATATTTTCATTTTCAAAATAAAATAAAAAAATTATAAAAAAATTGTATTTGCAACGCAGCCATCAGCTCTGACGCTGTGTGTGTGTAGCAATGCATTTAACTGCGACCCAATCAAAACAACCCATTTTGGGTCGCGACCCTGAGTTTGGGAAAGGCTGAGCTAGACTATTACACACACTTTTCTCATGGTTCTAGTTTTAAAACTGCTTCACTGTTGAAAATAATTTTCCTGGAGTTTCTTTCCACATTTAAATTTGCACAGAGGCTGAGACAAAGTAAAAAAAAGACGAAGCATGAAATGGATGTTTTGGTTCATTCATGAATTCCTCCAGGCTTCATCGGGCTTGTAAGACACGGTCACGGCTTGTCACTAAACTCACAGATCCTGCAGATTTTAATTGATCATTAACTCAACAAGCAGCTTGAAACTCAGCTCAGAGTTGAGGTAAGGACAGAGCTGGAGAAACATTTGTATGCGTGCCTCCAATTAACCTCACCAACCGATGGAAAGACACAGATACATAACATCACAGGGCGAGACGCAGAGAGAGAAGAGAGGCAGGCGAGACGCGTGAATCAAAACTCGATGTTTGAGGAGATTCTGCTCAATCTGTGAGCCTAATGAGAACTAATCACAACCCAACGCGACTCTCTGCATCTGCACAGCAGGGGAGATGAAACATATCTGAGACAAACTAAAGAGGAGAGGAAATATCTTTGAATTTGAGAAGTGGAATGAAAAGAAAGGGGCAGAAGAGGACAAGAGGAACAATGAGAGATAAAGAATGGCAGCGCCCTGGGCTCAGCACGGGTTGGATTCATGCAGCAACAGTTGTCATGGCTGTCAAAGAGATGACGTTCAGAGAGGCCTGCAGGAACTAACGTCTGATCTCCTCTCTGATCCGCAGGTCTGCGCCTGGCAGAGCAGTTAGGGCGGAGAGAAGATGAAGCTAAGATACGACATCGCCTCGGCCTGTCTCTGTGGGCCGGAGGCAACCTGGAGGAGGCACAGCACCAGGTGTGTGTGTGTGTGTGTGTTGAGCTTTGTTTCACAGTGTACATGATAACCTCTTATAAATCACACAACTCCAGCCTTAGCAGGTCTAATTGCTACATACTTTAAATCACCTGTGAGAGTAAACTGAAAAAACTGAAACGTTGAATTTAATTAAATGTATTATGTCAACAGATTTCACATTACTCTATTAGGTTAGTTTAAAGCAATAATATTAGGTTGAACTTAATTGAAAACTTTTTATTTAAAATTAATATTATTGCTTATTTGAACTAAATTAATAAAGTTATGTGAAAAAAATGTTGACATAATAATTAATCACTGAAAAATACTTAAATAATGTTAAGTTTAAATACAAAATAATAGGTTCTACTTAATACTATTGCTTTCGACTAACCTAATACAATTATATGGAACCTGTTGACATAAAACATTTGATTAAAGTCAATTTTTTCACTGTATAATAATAAATAAATATAATATTGCAAATTAATTATGCAGTGTAATCAACTTATAGTCTTGCAAAAAAAGAGGTTGCTAATTCAAAACAGAAGCGCGGTCACACTTAAATTCAGTTTTGGATTTTAGTTAAATATTTCCATATTATTCTGTTACATATGAGAGGAAGATATTTAGCTGTTTACGTCACTGAATTCATCTCACAGCTATAGTTATTAGTTAGTGTGTTAATACATTTAATTAAATGCATTGTTGGAGATGCAAATGACAAATCTGTGTTTAAAGTAATTAAAATGAGCACCAACTCAACTGACTGGAGGATTGAAATGCTGTGAATTGATTAATATTAATGGTCCAATAATATAATACAAAATACAACATAATAAACTAACTTTCTGATACTTGCATAATGACAATGTTATTTCTTATACCTACAATACATAATGCTTTCCTTATGTACTGCTGTCAGATAGGAGAAGTAGTAATACAATTTTAAGTACCTTTATGATAACTTCTCCACTACTCTGTACAGCACACAGCCTATTATGATCCAGCTTCTACAATACTTTAAAAGCTAACACAAGTACCAATCCGTTTTGGCATGCTTTGTGTTTGGCTATTGTTTCCATTGTTTGATATTATGTGTAACCTTCCATGCCTAAACTCAGTTCCCAGTTTGTTGGAGTGAAGAAAAGTAGATAATCCATATTCTTCAGATGAATGTGATGAATGTGTATTTGTAGTGCCCCCTAGTGGTTAGCAATGTAACAACATGCTCTCCTAGGTTTGAAATGTTGCAACTAACAATTAAATTCCGCTCATTCTGCTTGAAATATTGTGTTTCATACAGACAGGGGACATACTGTATATTTGTGTATATTGAGCGCTGTAGTTATATGCATGAGTATCAGTGTGATGTATGTTTGTTTGCTGTTTGTTTCAGTTGTACAGAGCGTCCGTATTATTCGAGACAATTCGTCATGAGACGCAGCACAACACGGATTACAAGCTCTCTCTGTTTGATCTGCAAACCAGCTCGTACCAGGCTCTCCAGAGAGTCCTTGTCAGCCTAGGTGAAGTAACCTCACCTCCTGTGCTGATATTTTGTTAGTGTGAATCACAATCTGTCTGTAAGGTGTTCTCACCTCTCCTTTCTCACCTTCACACTTCCTCTCTGTGTGCCTGTTAGCGATGCACAAATTATCACCTGATGTCTGAGCGCTAATTTAGACATTCTGTTCCCCCTCTCAATTTCCTACCTATTAATCTTTCGTGTTACATCTCAGGCCGTCACGATGAGGCCTTGGCCATCGCAGAACGAGGGCGAACACGAGCCTTCGCCGATCTCCTGGTTGAACGCCAGAAAGGGAGCCAGCAAACGGCGAGCACTGACCCTTACATCCCAGTTACTGTGGAACACATCCTGGAGACGGTCAACGGTCAGAGGGCCATGGTGCTCTACTACTCTCTGGCTGGAGGCTTTCTGTATAGCTGGCTGATAGCTCCAGGGACAGGTACGCACGCACGCACGCACGCACACTCACTCATTCACTCACTCAGGAGATTGAAAAAGCTGTAAAATGTATATTTCATGACTTCTGGGTTTTCCAATTCGTATAGTGCCACCTTCAGGGCAAAACTTTAATTTGTTTGTTAAAATATCAAAGGTCAATTTCCAGATACCCTCGAGTCTTGTACGATAAGTGTTTTGAAGAAAGGTTGACTGGTTAATCTGGACATGATTTCAGTTTTCTCCTGCTATTGTGTACAGTATACATACTTTAGATTGAGTTCTCTTATAAATGTGTTCAATAAGAAAGTCTGCAGCCCTTTTAAATCAAGTTGGAAGCTATTATTTTTATTATTTGGTTTTCCAACATTTATTGGAAGGTAGAAAAACCCTGTTTACTTAAGGAAACACATGCTCTGAATAATAAAAACAACATGCATTTAGAATTGTGCCAGAACCCGTTTTTTATTCATGTTGAAAGTATCTAGAACATTGTCACATAAAAAACATTATGGATTAATTTAAACTTCTCCTTCTTTCACTTCTTTAACTCGTCTTCTCTTTTTAGAGTCCAGTTTCATTAATCTGTCATCATTTTTGTCATTTAAAAAGCCAGGACGCTGGTCCAGTTTCGGGACCCACTTTTTTCCTTCGTCAATAAATCTTGACCCAACATTTTGAACCACTGAAATCGATTCAACAAAAAAAATCTTGATTTTTTTTAAAGTGAAGTACAGTGCATATATTCCTTATATCCCCTCACAGAACTTAACTGCTTATACAAAAAGTGTAATCTTATGATGGTCCTCAAGTTTCTAGAATCAAAGTTCAGCTGTGTAACATAAAAAGGCACACTTGTCTTGTACTCAATAAAAAGGCAGACTTGGAGACAATCCAAACCCCAGCAGGGGGGTCTGGGGGGATTCTCCCCCAGGATATTTTTAGAAATACTAACATATAAACAACGCATTCTGGTACACTCTGAGAAGAAAATAAATAAATCTAATACTACCTGACATATTTAATAATATTTTATGCCATTTTTTGTTTTTCACTTTGTTCTGACAGCTGAACTTGCTGCTCCACACAGTGAGAAGAGTAAAGAGGAGATAATCTGTTTGAATTACTTTAAATTGTGGATAAGGGTAAATAGCCCCCATTGTTCTGTGACCTGTCAATCATCAAACCGGGGGTCGTATTTCATTACCTGTTCATTTTTATCTGAAGTTGTACCCATGTGTGTGGGGGAAACTTCTGAAGCAATTGGAAACAGGACTCAGAGAGGCATGAGGAGAGCTGGAGCTTTTATGGCAAACAATGACGGTTTATTTGGACTTACGGCCGGAGAATTGACAAAACAGGTGGTGTGTCACGAGCTGACACAGCGGTTGCCAAACCAATTTTGAAGAACTCTTCTGTAGCTCGAGGTTTTAACTAGTTCACAGTGTAATAATCAACATTCTTTATCAGTGAGGCTAAACAATTATGGACCCTGAATCTAACTAGAGGTCTCGTCCATAGAAAAGAATGTGCGCCAGGGAGCCTACGTCCCTGAACAGTAAACTACCTCTTGGCGGCTTGTGCTCTGTCATAGACTGGCAACAACAATGCGCCCAAGCTGCTCCTCCTTAAAGGTGGGGTAGGTAATTTCGGAAAGACCAGCTCGAGTGCGCTATAATTTGAAAATACACAGCCGGAACAAATCTGCCACTTCCTTACAGAGCCCCTTCCCCAACACACACGAACGTGCACATGACCAATGAGGGCACGAGATAGGTTTGTGCACAGATGGAAGGCTGACAGGCAGGTAGGCCATCCAGTTATTTTAGCCGGGCCGGCTAAAATGATTGGTCGTGCTTTTTACAGTACTATGGCTTCCACAGATGACATTTTTTTATGGATTTTTTGTCAAAGCACTTAAGATATTCATTGCTATCGGGATGTTAAGAGCATTCCATGGACTATAACAAAAAGTGTATCTCGAGCCGGTTTCTCAAACTTACCTACCCCACCTTTAAGACAGATAGCAATACCCAAGGCCGTAGAACTGAGAAAAGAGACAGTAAAGAGAAAAAACGATGACCTGGGTCGAAGGTTGAATACCTAAGCAAATTAATCCCGAACACCATGTATAAAGAGTAGTTCTACCGCAAACTTGTTCTCCGTGGGGACTTCCGGCAACCATCTTGATTCTGATCGGCCAGAAGACTCGAAAAAACATCAGCAAAGATGTTTTATTGAAAAGATGATTTTTTAAAAGTAATTTTCTTTTTTTACTCGCATATCTGCGACCCGACAGTTGAGAACCACTGCACTAGAGTAACTTAAGTCTTGTTTCTGTATTACTGAAGTAATAATTTTGTTACTGTCACTCTGCTCTGAATGGCTTTGCTTTTTTCTGACCAAAACATATAAATATTTTCTGGCTCCATGCATAAATAATGCTTTAGAGCTAAAAGCAGAAGTTGAAAAAGCCTTGAGCTGTGAATCCATTTAACCCCCTTGCCATTCCCAACGGCAAAACCTAATTCTGAATGACTGTTTTACATTTTAAGAAACAGTTTGTAGGGTCGAATTAAAACATGTTTATACAAGCTTAGCAATGTGTTAGTGAAACAATAATTGAGTCTGTCTTAAAAGGAGATCATTATAATGTTCCACTTGCATATGCACAAAGCATTTGTGCATGCACTGCACAAAATAAAACTTTGATTTAACTCTCTAAGAAGACTGCAGAAAGAGCTAGGGTTTGGAAAGTGCTCAAAAAAGCCCCCAAAAATACTCTAAAGCACTTTACCAATTTCACAGTAGGACTGTTCTGAATGATAAAGTCAGTAAGAGTGGAATCTGGAATTGTGCCAGGTTCTAAGCGGTTGATTTCTATGACATTTACTGAGCTCAGTCTCCTCAGTGGATGGACCCTTTTATTTTGGTCTCCAAATGATCTTTTCCTCTTGCGCCACCCTCAGGCCAAAATGTCAACCTTGTGTGCGCACATCTCATAATCTAACTGTCATGACATTTTAGGACATTTGAGCACTGAAGGGGGAAAACCTTTGGATTTTAATCACTTTCTGACCTTAATGGACACATGACCTTTTCCTCCAAGGCCATCCCCAAGGGAACTTCACATTTGCAGCCTGATCACTTTGAGATTTTGGGCTTGCACCAAACATTGCAGCTTCTAATATGCAATTGCTACTGGAGTTTTAGACTTTTAATCTTGTCAATAATTAATATATAAGCTCAAATCTGACCTGCATACTCAGTTGTAGCAATTTTGTTTGCAGACTTTGTTATACAGAGCTGCACGGCCTGCTTTAATAAAGTGGATCCTTGTTCCAGTTTCTCTAATTATTCAGAGTCTTGTGCACACCATACAGTACATCTTTTAATTCATACGCAAGCAGACAAATAAACACAGTACAGCGTGCAGTCATTAATTCATGCTCTTCCTGCAACAGGTATTGTGAAGTTTAACGAGGTGTATCTCGGAGAGGCCGGAGTGGAGGATTTCCAGGATGGTGGTGGGAGCCCGCAAAGTGGAGGAGGAGGGGGGGGTGGAGGTCCTCAGTCCTTGGAGCAATACATCTGCAACGCTAGAGAGGCTCTAGGAGTGGACAGCCATTACAGCAGGTATTTTTCTTTACTGACACACTACATTTTGTAAGATGATTTTAGTCATACTCAACATAACACATTTGTCCAAATATTCAACAAAAGAGAAGAAAGACAGACACGGGGTCTTTTCATCTATTACTGTTAACAGGTCAATATTAGAATTTGTTCAATCCTTTCCCCTACATTCTAAGCTGCACTTTGTATTTTAGTGCTAATTAGCAACGGTAGAATGTAGCCAGGTGCATTTACTCAAATTTGAAGTACTATGTTTTCCTCTACATATGTCTAAAACCTTAAGTTACTAGTTACTGCACAAATTAACACTTTTACATTAAGTCATTACTTGATAGTTTAAAATTAGCAATGATTTACTGTATAATAAAATGAGTAATACTAATCTAATGTTATAATATATAATAATATAACAGTCAAAGGGGAAATTTTCCTGCTTTTAAAAACTCTAAGTACTTTTTCCAAAATGTCCTAAATACTTATATTCTTTGACTTTGACACAGTATTTTTACAGTTTGGTTAAAGTACATTTACTTAAATAAAAGATCTAAAACGTCCTCAACCACTGCTTATAAACAAATGTATACACACTACACTATACTAAAATGGCGAAAATGTTAAAAGGATATCTGTACTGCCTCATAGAACAGCAAGCTTTGCTGTAACTCAGTCTTATTACTGTTCGTCGACACTCATTAAAACACAAAGGGAGGAGAGTGAGTAAAAGAAGACAGAGGAGGCGCATGCTGCATGTCATCTGTCTTCCTTTCCTCCTACTCTCTGCTGCCATATTTCCTTAAACTCAATTATCCTGCCCGCAACTTCAGGCCTTGGTTGGCACCACTGGAGGACTTTGTAAATCACTACCATATGTTGTGTCAGCAAATGTTCCCCAACACAAACTGCTCTCAACTTTCTGTGGAAACCACTGCAGTAGGGTCGCCGCAGCGAGTGAGTGAGTGAGTGAGTGAGTGAGTGAGTGTGTGTGTGTGTGTGTGTGTGTGTGTGTGTGTGTGTGTGTGTGTGTGTGTGTGTGTGTGTGTGTGTGTGTGGTGAGCCTCTATTTATGTATGATGATTACAAATCCTGCTCATCCACAGCGTAAAAGTGTTTGGACATATGCAGCATTAAAATGCTTTCCAACCCACCAGTGGAGTTGTACTACCCTCTAGCATGTAGCAACTGCTATTTTCACACTAATTAAATCTCCCTAAGCTGGAAAAAGTGCAGCCAGTCGACTACATAAAAAGTAATGGTGTTTGCTAATGGGGAATTTGTGCGATCAGTCCAGGACATTGTATCTGAGTCCTGTCATTGGTCTGTAAAGAGTCACTGCCAGCATGCTAAACATTACATGTTAAACTGCTTTCTGCATCCTATTTCCTCTTTACAATTACAATTTTTTTCATATTGATTCATAAGAAATTAAGCACACCCTTCTGTTTAGATTTTTGGGTCAAAACTGCTATAATGATAACATTCAATACTCTTGAGGTGTTTTTGCCTGGTATGAACACAAGCCTATAGGGACTAATGATAGCAAACTCACTGTAAGTAGGTACAGGGTGTGTTCGCTGACTTTTTCTAGTTAATGTTACACTACATTCTAAAATGTAAAATTATTCTCTAACTGCTCGGCTGAAGCTTACCTAACAACATGAAATAATAGATGCTAGAGGTTCTGACTGAAATGCATCACTAATCGTGCTTTGGGATACACGTTGGTGGGGATGTTGCAGTAACAATAAAGTAAATGGAATGTACTTATATGGTACTCTATAGGGTCTTTTCGACCCTGCTTTACAAACTACAAGTCATTCACCAATTCACTCCATTCATTCACGCAGAGCAGTACCAATTGCTCTAGGGTACCTATGATTCATTCACATTCAAACACTCAGGGTTAAGTATCTTAACTGCACAGGCTGGGATCGAGCCCACAACCTTCTGGTTGAAAGACGACTGTACTTCCTCACAGCCCCAGTAAAGTCTGTTTGTGTTATCGTTTACTTCAAAGAGCTTGCTCCAGCAGTGAGACTGAAAGTGAAGCCGGAGATCTTTTAGAGCAACAGTTTGAGGAACTGAACAACAAATTGACGTCAGCCACCGACCCAACAGGCTACCTCCGCATGGTGTCCAGAAATAACATCTTTAACAGGTAAGACTTTTTTTTGGTTTGTATCTTGATTGATTTTTAACCGTGCTAGTGGCCTGGCTCTATGAAGGGTCAGATGGTTAGTCCAAATCTTTGGTCTAGACTCTAGACTAGAATTAAAATCTTTCAAAAATCATTGAATAGATTGCCATGAAATATGTACAGACATTCATGTTCTCCAGAGGTTAAACCCATACTGACTTAGGTAATCTTCCGACTTTTCCTATTGGGGCACTTGCAGATTGTTAAAATCTTAACTATTGGTAGGATTTCCATGACCTATAGCACAAAAAACCCTTTCCCTCAAGATGAATTGTAATCATTTTTGTGATCCCTTCATATGACAAGGTCAAAAATGTCATCCAACACTCTGGTTTATGACCAAATACCTGCAAAAGTGAAAACATTACCATCCTCTTGAGCTGTACTTTGTTTTCGTTGCTAATTAGCTAAGATTAACATCAAAAGAATGTGAACATGTTAAACATTACTTGTGCTAGAAATCTGCATTTTCACTCCAGTGTGCCTCAGTACATCCTGACAGAGCTGCTAGCATTGCTGTGGTAGCTTAGTCTATTTCATGTATTTCTTTTACACAGAGTTAATGTGTGTATTTGTATCTGTGTTTAACAGAAGCTGTCAGAGCATGACGAGTCTATACAGCGCCACAGTATCTCCAGTGAAGGACAGCTTACACTCTCCTCCTTACCGGCCGAGTACTATCAGCAAACCTCCTCTACGTGCCCTTTATGATTTACTTATAGCTCCAATGGAAGGGGTATGTATGGGTATAACATTAATCTGCATATTTATATTTCCCATTTTATGCTTTTTAATCTTAATCTCTCTCTTCTTCTGTCTCCAGGGCCTGATGCACAGCAGTGGTCCTGTGGGCCGACATAAACAGCTCGTGTTAGTTCTGGAGGGCGAACTGTACCTGATCCCATTTGCCTTGCTCAAAGGCAGCTCTTCTAATGAGTACCTTTATGAAAGGTTCAGTCTCATTTCTGTACCTTCTTTAGGCAGCCTGGGAACAACAATCAAGGTAGGCAAATTGCATCTATAACAATATATTTAACCTATTATATGCTAACTTTCGCCTCCTTGTGTTAACAAGTGTTATTGTTGTTGTTGGTGCTGCTGTTCCAAAGACAACCTGACTTATTTAGTCAGGGAAAAAGCGGTGAATGCATTGAACTAGTACATTAATGTTGTTGTTAACTAAATTCCCAATGCTACTCAAAGAAATCACAATCCCTCACTGCCACTAACACAATCACTAACCTTTTTTAATGTGTGAGGATGTTGCAAATATGCAAATTAGCGCATGCAAAGTCAAATATCATAGTTTTGTTGTTGTTATGTTAATGCTGGTGTGTCCTATACAGAGAGTCGAAGGTTTTTTATTGTAAAGTGGGTGGGACTGCAGATAGACCCATCTTATTTAATTGGAAAAGAGTTGGCAAACTGCTCAGATTACACTGCATTTTGTTTTCCATGGCTCTGTGCAAAAAAATAGAGCCTTTGTTTTCTGGGAGGTCGTACACAATGGCAAACAGGATAACAAGGTGAAAATGAGGCTTACATGGAACGAATATAGTAAACACTTATTGGCTCATAATACTTAACTGCGACCATAGTCTTTAAGGTGTCAAATCAGTTAAAGCAGAAAAACTTGTGTACTGACACTTTAAACAATCGTATGGTCCCCCTAGTTTGGAGTGATACAGTGATTTGTTTAGTATTTTTTTGGGGCCTTTTAATATGTGGAAAATCTCAATCAATTCGTGTTCAACCCACAGCCTCATCCTCGTCGCGGTGGTCCCTCCCTTTGCTCAGATGGAGGTTCAGTGGCTGCTGTGATTGGGGCTCCTCGTCTGCCCTCCTCCGTGATGGACCGCTGGTTGTGGGGTCCCTTACCTTCAGCCCAAGATGAGGCTCTTTGGCTGGGGGAGCAGATGGGATGTCATCCCCTAACTGGAGCCAATGCCACAAAGGAGCGTGTGCTTGCCGCTCTCAGTCAGGCCGAGTGTGTTCACTTTGCGACTCATATCTCTTGGAAGCTCGCTGCTTTGGTTCTCTCTCCGAGCCAGGAGCATGCTGGGGGAGAGGGGGCGGGCGGGCGACCCAGGGAGAAGTCCCCATGTACGGGGTCAACCTCTGGTGAGACTGCGGGTCAGGAGGGAAAGATCAAGGGTTTGTTTCCGGAGAGACTCAGGGGAGCAGATGAAACGAGCGAGGACGGGGATAGTTTGTGTGACATGGAGAGTGTGTGTGACGGTCCATCTCTTCATGACTTCCTCCTCACGGCTGCTGATATACTGGATCTGTGCTTGAACGTCAAACTGGTGGTTCTGAGGTAAAACTTTAAACACAAAAGTTTTATAAAGCCTCCCAAGGTTCCCCCTGACCTCTGGCTCCCTGTCCCCTCAGGTTGTACCCGGAGTCCAGCAGCAAGGTGACGTCTGACGGGCTGGTGGGTCTGACCCGGGCCTTCCTGGCTGCCGGCGTCCAGTGTGTGTGCGTTTCTCTGTGGCCTGTACCGATAGCTGCCTCCAAGGTCTTCACACACACCTTCTACACAGCGCTTCTCAACGGGACCAAAGCCAGCGCAGCTCTGACAGAGGCCATGAAGACTCTGCAGAGCAGCAAACACTTCTCACACCCCTCGAACTGGGCTGGTGAACACAAACACACATTAAACTCATTTTTCAGAAAGCGGAAACCTGATTTACAAGCTATGATTGATGCTCATAGCAGCAACTCCCACACTAGTTTCTTATGTGGGAATAACTGCATGTCGGATATGTCAGGTTTTATACAGAATGAAGACAAATTATTATGAGGATTTCTGTTCTTTGAATTCATATCACATAAGTTATTTGTTGCCCACAGCCTGCGAGCGAGTTTAGACAGTCAACTCGAGCTGCTTTGCTACATTCTGCACCACCTATCCAACATATTTGGCTGTTATTTTAAGCCATCAGAAATGCCCAGCTGTTCATCTTTTCTGCCAAACCACAGCACTCATTTCACCCCAAGTATCTGAGCTTTATTCAGCCTCACAAACACAAACACCCAGGCATCCAGCAGTAAACTCTGATTTTAGTCCCAGGAGAGAAAATATTTACTAACCAAACTCTCTCTCTGTACAAACAAAAATATTTTACATGAGTTTGTGTGCATTTTTCTTATCTAAATTTGAGATTTTTGACTTTTCTAGTACGTGTGTTTCACTTTCTTTTCTTGGTTATGTTTATCCTAAAAACCTGATACTAAGTTAATTTGAGACACTTTTGGTAAAAAAACAATGTACGCATTGCACATTTGTATTGGGTTTGGTTCGTACATAAGTGCTATGTGCTTTTCGATAAGCTGTTTTACAAGATGTAGTTTCAAACAAATGCATACAACTCTTTATTTAACTGCAGCAGGCCATACACCTGAACATTTTGATGTAACTCACTTTCGAGTTGTGTAAATGTGATATTTAAAATTATTTTAGTGTGTGTTGGCCCTGTCATGGAAAAAAACAAGGAATTGATCTTCAAACCCTTATTTAAAAAAAATCTATTCACTTTTGTGCAAAGGGAAGCTCAATCTGTGTGCAGCATTACTCTTTTAAAGCTTAAATATGGTTGAACCCTCTCTAAAAGAACGCAAAATGGCATAATCGAGTGTTTGAATGTCATTAATCTCATTTTGAGTGTGTTTTTCTTCAGGCTACATGCTGATTGGCACTGATGTGAAGCTGAACAGCCCCATGTCACTGGTGGCTCAGGCCCTGGCAGAGATCCTGCAGTACCCAGAGAGGGCCAGGGACGCCCTCAGAGTGCTGCTACACCTGGTGAGACGCACTCACACTTTAGGGATATTAACAATTACATGAGTCTGGATCCACCATAATTAATTTAACACCCCAGAGCCATATCTGGTCTTCTTATTCTATAAATATACCCTGCTGAAGTTATGCAGATCTCCCAGAATACATGATATTGTTGTGAGAGGAATCGCTTTCTTTGTTATGCCAAGTACTAAGGACTATTGATTTGTTGGTTGACAATGACATTTCTCTGTAAACAAGAGGCAGGAGTCCAGTGTTTAAACATCATATTTCTCTCCGCAGATTGAGAAGTCTTTGCAGCGCATTCAGAGTGGCCAGTGTAACCCGATGTACACATCACAACAGAGCGTAGAGAACAAGGTCTGTGTGTGGCTCTTTCTCTCTCTTTATTCTCTAAATGTCAGCCTGCGTGTCTCCTCCACTAATGTCCAAATGTCCTCTCTCCTCTGGGTCAGGTCGGGGGGGTTCCCGGGTGGCAGGCCCTCCTGTCTGCGGTGGGTTTCCGGCTGGACTTCTCTGGTAACTGTTCCGGTCTGCCTGCGGCGGTTTTCTTCCCCACCTCAGACCCCGGGGATCGGCTGCAACAGTGCAGCGCCACTCTTCAGTCCCTGCTCGGTAACACAGCTCTTTCATTATTCAAAAGGTCTTTCATGTCAATCACCCTGATAGAATAACAACTTGTCCATTCCCCAGAGGATATAGGATTCAGACTGTATTTTGTTTGAGCATGTACTTCCAAAATGTATTTCACATTTCATGATGAAACAATGAAATCTAATTATCTCTTTATCCATCTTCAGGTCTCACTCCTCCAGCTCTGCAGGCTCTCTGTAAACTGGTCACAGTATCTGAGGCTGGGGAGCAGCTCATTCATAAGGTACTCTCATGGTGTGGAGTAACAGCACAGTCATTCATACAAGTGCTGGAAGAAGTACTCATTAAAGAGATCGAGAAGAATACATAATACATATGTTTCCTAATTTATCATTTGTATTTTCATGTGAAATATTGGATCATTCTTTTGGCCTTGAACGGTTATATCATTCTGATCCAATCTGAGAAGTTTAGACTGTAACTCAATTTATTTATGGCAAGAAGTCCAAACTAGACTAGTCATTTTTTGTAAGAGGTCACAAGCTAACAAGTTTGGAGCAACTGGTTTAATATTTGACAATGCGACATTAAGGTAAAGCACTTAAGGACAATACTTGAGTCAATGTACTTTCCACCACTGGTTCATGTCAACATCTCTTCAACTGAGTAATGCATGCAAGCACATTTAGTTCAGCGGGGCCATGATAAAGCTTACAAAAAAGAAGTCCTTCATAGATACCTGGTATTTTCTGACAAACAGTGTCGTCATTGCCTTTTTCAGTTCTGTTTAGACTCTGCAGGTATTCCGATCAGGCTCCTAACAGTCCTAAAAATATTAACCAATAAGGTCAAGCATCTTTTTTTTGCCTTAGAGGCAAATCCAGGCCAAACAATTCCATAAAGCATTGAACTCCACTCACTGCTGCTCTTCAAGTTTATTACTGTGAGCATAACTGAACAGTCAGAACTACTCCTGTCCAGATTTTGGCAGCTTGACCATTTTCAGTTAGTTGGGTAGAAAACCAAACTGAAATGATTAAAGTGAAGTTTTCCCACCATTCCCAGTGGAAGTTAAACTCTTGAATGCATGTGTGTTGTAATTGCATGTCCTTTAATGATCTCCTAATTGTCTAGAAGGCATGTCTGACATGTCTTTGAGTCATACACCTACAAGTAGAACATATTTCAAAGGTCACACCACCATTCACTTTGCTATAATTTGTTCTAGCCTGTATAGCCCTCATATACACCATATGGGTATCATCAGGTATCATCATCCATATATGATTCAGTTTGCAGTGACTCAAACCAAACAATTCAAAAGGAATAAACCCCTCAAAATCTGTTTCCTCCCCTCTTATACCCACCTCACAAGGCGGTAAAAAGCATGGTGGGCACGGTAAGTGTTTATGAGTGACTTTGAGTTCAAAGAAAGCGTGACATGAATCAAAGCAGGCACATAAAGTGAAGTTGTTGTACATCAGACTTCTGTTATTTGAAAGATGTCTGGGATGCGAGTGCTACATCTTTCTTGCCTTAGTGAAGAGTGTTAAACCACACTTGTTTTGTGACAAACTAACTGTACCATCCAATGTAATGATATGTGATCTCCTCTCCAAAGCTTCACCAGGTGCTGGTTCAGTTGCAGTCGGGCGACAAAGAGCAAGACTTCTCTCTGGCTCCCATTCAGGTGTCCATCAGTGTGCAGCTCTGGAGGCTTCCAGGCTGCCACGAGTTCATGGCTGCACTCGGTGAGTCCTCAGCAGAATAAATAATGTTTCACTTTTACTTTTGAGTTTATCTAAGTTCCAAAAACACTTCAGAGTAGATAACTATACATTTATCTATGTCATATATGATACTAAATTAGTATAATGTATTAAATGGTAATATTGCTTAGGATAAAGATGTGTGAAGAATGTAAATGTTTGCATCAAGAGTAAAGGTACAATATATACAGATTTGCCTTTTCAGAGATTTAATAACAATTACAAGTACATTCATTATGTCTACATTACTTATTGACATGTTAACAGCATCTGGTGCCACTTTTTAACCAGCCATAGTTTATTAGAGGTTTCTCAGTTATAAGTTAATAGCTAATAGTATTACTCAACTGTCATTATCAAGGACAATCTATTTTGCATGTGAACATGCTGCTCCAGCATCAATCACGATGCCTTTTCATTTGAATTAATGTGTGTATATATGGTAAATGGACTGTACTTATGAACGCTTTATCAAGTCTTTACGACCCCCTAAAAGAGTCATTCACCCATTCACACCTCATTCATGTAGAGCAGTACCACTTGCTCTAGGGAAGCTAACATTAACATGCATTCACACATGTGGCCACGCCATCGGGAGCTGCTCAGGGTTCAGTATCTTGCCCAAGGATACATCGACATGTTGACTGCACAAGCTGGGATCGAATTCAAAACCTTCTGGTTGAAAGACGACCCCACTCCCTCGCAGCCACAGTTGCCCAGTCGTAACAACTTTTCAAAATCTTGCAACTGCAGACTTAATAACTTATGAAGCTTATAACATGCCTTTATTAGAAAATTGCTAACAACAAGTAACTGCTAAACTTGGATATCATTTAAACTACTTATTAATAAAGTCAAATATTTTTTGTATTAAAATATTTATTTCCAAAGTACCCAGTTAAGATAGGTCTTAGACAAATGTAGTGGAGTACAAAGCAATATTTCCATCTGATGTCAGATTTAGAGGTATAAACTACCAAAAACTGGATATAAAATCACTTCAAAATTGTGAATGTAGTTGTAATTTGTTACCTGTTGTCTCTGTCAGGTTTTGATCTCTGTGAGGTGGGTCAGGAGGAGGTCGTGCTGAAGACTGGAAAGCAGGCCAGCAGGCGCATCATGCACTTTGCCCTTCAGTCTCTTCTGGCACTTTTCGGTGAGAATAATGAAAAACATTCTTTTTTATAAACTAAATCTTTATCTCTAGTCCACCCTGACACCTGTCTTTTTTTCAGACTCCACGGAGCTTCCCAAGCGACTGAGCATGGACAGCTCCTCCTCCCTTGAATCTCTGTCGTCCTCCCAGTCGGCCTCCCAGCCTCACTCCTTACCCCTCTCCTTTGGGTGCTATCCCCCCCAGCCGTCCTTCTTACCCCCCGTCTGCCCCGACAACCTCTCCTGCGACGCCATCTCCGTCTACAGCCTCAGCTCCCTCGCCTCCTCCCTCAGCTTCCTGTCGCGACCTGAGCCCGCAGGAAGTGACATCATCAGCCAGCGCTCACATCAGCAAGATCTGGACAGACATCGCGGAGGAGGAGGCCTCTATGCCTCGAAACGCCACACAGGAGGCATGTCAAGAGGAAGAATGACCAATCAGGGAGGAGGAACGTCAGGAGAAGGGGAGGAAGAGGAGTACGAGGGTTACTCCATTATTAGCAGTGAGCCTTTAGGACGAGGGAGGAGGGAATGTGACACGCTGCCACTTCCTGCCGGACACAGAAACGGCAGAGGTGGTGCTGGGAGAGGGACAGCCGGGGGTCATGGGTACCCTCTTACTATTTCCTCCAAGGGAAGCATCAGCTCACCTACATCTCCCATTAAAGCTCCACAGCTGCCCCTCAAAGTTCTTACCAGCTCCAAGTCCAAGCAGGAAATGTAAGTTTGATGTTCATATCGATTAAAAGATATGGTGTTTATTGAAATGCACTTGTCAGAGATGCAAAATGGGATGAGCCGGTGTACAGTCACTCAAACCTCAAAATGTCCAGCTCATTGAAGACTTATAATTGAAGAATTACCTGCATAACTTTTGTTTTCTTTCATATTTTATGATTTATAATTTTTAAATGCAACCTGTTTGATATATATAAAATCTTTCTTATATTAACAAATGTTCAGGAATGCATGTCTTTATCTTAAAATAACAATCACACACTTTCATTTAAACCTCATTTTACAAAAAAAAAGCTTGAAACAAGGCGATTAGCATATGCCAACTAAAGATATTGTAAAATAATTGTATCTTTTCTCTTTCATGATATTTGATACGGTTTACCAAGTGGTAATGATACATTAAGAAAGGAATTAATGATGATTAATGTATGATTAATGTCATAGGAATTATAGTCAAAGCTAACTTGCAACTAATCTTTCTATAACTTTATTATTATTTTGTTCCCAGCTCTCCTCCTCAGAGGACAGCGAAAGCAAAGGTCAGCAGCTCTGAGTCGGACCAGTCGAGTACTGAGACCGACAGCACGATCAAGTCCCAGGAGGAGAGGATGGGGCCCGCAGGACAGCTGGACCCCCAGGAACTGGCCCAGAAGATCCTGGAGGAGACACAGGTCCACATGCAGGCTGTGGAGAGCCTGCAGAAAGCAAACATTAGGGGGAAAACACTGAGGGGGTCTGAGGGGGGAGAAGAGGCGCATGCCAGGCAGCATTCAATGTCGACTCCCACAACTCCAACTCTGACTGGAGCGACACGAGGCTTCCAGCCCTCTGAGACCAGTGCGTTTAGCAGACCGCCCAGTAGAGCAAGTCTAAAGGCTTGCTCCTCCCCTCTTTCCCCCTCTGGTCAGTTCTCACCCCTCTCCGCTGCTGTTTCTACACCTCCCTCAACTCGACCAAAACCGCCATCCCGCTCCTCATCGCTGCAGAAAATCAGCTCCGGCTACAACAGCCCGGCTCATTCCTCTCCCTCTTTATCTCTCTCTGTGAAAGAACAAGGGTCGCCTTTCCACACCAATTCCCCAGATGTGCATGTACAGGCCCAGCTCAAACTGAAATACCCGACCTCACCTTACACCACCCACATCTCCCCTTCCCACTCTCCTGCTGGCAGTGCCCCATCGCCGGCCCTTTCTTATTCCTCCACAGGATCCGTTTCAGCCTCCTCCAGCCCTGCAAACACCCCCGAACCCAACCAGCCAAAGCGTGACCATAAAGTCCAAGCGATTCATAACTTAAAAACCTTCTGGGCCAACGCTGGCCAGAAACAAGAGGGGCCCTGCCCTGCCAGTTTACTCCGAGGGGGGAATAAAAAAATGAGTACAGTTCAGAAAGATGTTTTGGGTTTGCTTAATCTCTCACCTAGAAATGAGTCTGTCAGAAAAAATCTAGAAGGATCTGAGGATCATAACACTGGCGAGAGACCAAATGGTCACCAAAAACTGGAGGCTAAAACCCCTCCACCTCCATCGGCTAACTCTAAAGGAAGCATCAAAATTCCCTCGGGGAACGGCTACAAGTTTCTCTCACCTGGACATTTTTTTCCATCCTCTAAATGTTGAGATATTTGCTGAACCCAGAGGGACAATCTTCTGTTTCATTTATTGTGCTATGAAAGAGGCTATCAATTTGTCAGCTAAATACTACCACATTTTTTAAGTAATACCTGCTGAGGAATAGGATTAAAAATGCTGTTTCATACTGACTGAGTGATTTTACACATCACTACTTTATGTGAAGGGATGTTACATTTGTGAATGTGATGACTGTGCCTTCTCCTGGAGAGAGCTGGAAGGACAAAGTGAGAAGTGTTGAGTCTCTGGCTTTAATTGTGTTTTGATGACTGACTAGAGAGCATGTGTCTCAATGCCTCCATGTACTGTACTCACAGTCTGTTGACTGAATGCCTGAGAAAAGGAGAACATTTTATGTCAACCTAAATGCTCGCTATATTGTTGTAAGTTAACCTGAATTTGATCTTGAGTTATTGTGTGATAACTATTGGTAAATGTCACTATCAATGCTTATGGTTGTCATTTATTTTGTAAAGTAAACAGTGTTTTCCAGTCATTATTATACATTTTATAAAGACAATTAAAAAAAGGACGAAAGGAAAACATTTTGATATTTTTTATGGAGATTTTATGTGTGATTGTCAGCATGGTGCCTCTTGCTGTTCAGTGTGTTAGCCACTTTATAATGTATCATTTTACAGCAGTGCCAGACTCCTATTTGGAAATATTTCAATTCTCAAGAAGTGGACAAATAAAAACGTTCTTTTCCTTGTTTTGTTTTTGACACAAATCTATTCTCTCCACATTTTCACTTACATGAAACTGTCTATCTATCTATCTATTGCAATGGATTTTATTTTTTAGTAAATCAAATGTTTCTAATTAATATGTAGAAATCATGTTTAATTCATACTCTGTTAAATCGAAGAGACAGTGGTGTGGATTTTTCAGCCTATCAGATTTTTTCTGGAGGGCGGAACGAACTTGTTGATAATTCTTTCTGGTGTCCGGTCCCAGTGCGCAGGCGCAGCCCGGGTGACGAAGATGGTGCTCATCAAAGAATAGTGAGTATGAGATGTTTTTAAAAAACGGTTTTTGGTGTGTTTAGAGGCTGATTTCCATCTATTCGAGTGCCTATTACTGAAGAGTAAACATATATGTATCGTTCAGGTCTGTCGTTTACTGGATTTTGCGGTCGCGTAACCCGTAAGAAGCCAGCTTTGAGCAGGGTGGATCAGGACGTGGATAACGGGACACACCGGTCTTTTTTAGGCGTTGCTAGTGCAAGCTAACGTTAGCATCTGAGTTGTAGCAGCGGAGGGGATAATTAGCTTCTTAGTGAAAATGAGTTACATAAAAAGGCTACACACATAAACAATCTAGACATTCAGTCAGTCAACATGATTTTGAGGGTTGGATATGTCACCAACATTAAGGTAGCTAACCGGTTTGCAGCATGTTATATGTGTAAAGTGCCGTAATGTTAAGCTTTGGTCCCGTGAGTGACAGATTAAGGTTCCTTCACCGTCGGATTTAACATGAACGTAATGCTAGCTTTGGCTAAGTTAGCCCTAGCAGCCGGCTAGCTGCTAGCATAAGCATTTTTGACAACAAGTTCATTTTTAAACCTATATCTAACACTATCTAATTGCCATGTTGGTGTATTACATTCAATTATCGTTAACAAAGAGTTTAGCAGGTATTTTCGTCTAGTATTTGCTAATTTCACATAGCAGTTGTCCCATTCAAGCTAGCTTGAGGTTATGGAATTACTTTGCTGTTACTTTGTTGGCGCTAGCATTACAGAGTTAGCCTTTTAAATGGGCGGCTAATACTTATCAAGCAACATCTCTAACGCAATTAACCACCACATTTGTGCCCATACATTTGTCGTATTGGTATTGAGGGGGTCCTTTTCATCAACTTTCGTTTCAGCAAAGCTTATTAGCTTCTGCTATGTGGCTAACCAATATCCTCTCCAGATAACGGTACCTGTTGTAGCCTTGTTTGTTCAACTAGCCTTGGTTAAAACACACACATCTGCTTAAATCTACCACATTTTCTTCTTTTAAAATGGAATTATTATTGCATACTATGCTTAGACATGCATGGCTAAAAAAACATGTGTTAAAGGTTAGATACAACCAACATCGTGTGTTTCTGTGGAATAACAATAATACAAAAATAACCTGTATTGCATTTGTATTAACGCAATTGTAGAGGAGTATTTAAAACCTACACAACATAATAATTAAAGTAAACATGTTATTGGTCAGGAGATATGGATTTATACATATATAATACTGTAGTATAGTTTGCCCACATTATGCTTTCTAATCAAATGTATGACCATGGAACAATATATTTGATTATTCTATGCGAAATATAATCATTAAGCAAATAGATGTTCTGTTATGGTTGCTTATAAATATTGTGATTCTAAAACAATGATCAATGTATAGGAGGCATCTTGTTTAAAGGGAGCCTTAATTGAAGAAAATGTGTAGACCTACATTTTGATGAGCTCATTAAGAGAAAAGTACATTTCAATATTAGCGTCACTGTCAATTCTCTTTTCTTTCTGCACTAACATGTAAGTGAATAAGGCATCTGGGAGAGAGCTCTATCAGATCACCATGGTTATTTTTCTGGTTGTGTTTTACTGCTATTTAAAAGGATTTTGTGGACCATATCAACACATTGTCCTAATCCCTAAATCAGTATCTTCAACACTTAAAAAGAAAAGCTGCTGAGAAATACATTTTAATTGCTGTAGAAACAAATTAACAGTATGTCCTATTCAGACATGCTTATCTTGCACAACTTACATAAGTATGTACAGTAAGAGTGAGCTGTTATCACTGTTGTAAAACTCAACTTTGGTCATGATCGACAGACACACACTACATTATACATGAAGGTGCATTAGCTTGCAGATTTCTTTAGTTTTAAATTAAATGATTTGTAATTATCTTGGTTGCACCAACAATTATATTTGTTATAATTGAATCTGCAAATGTTTTCTCAAATACATGTTTTGTCTAAATATTGTCCATTATAAGTTAATGAAATTAATTGTTTTGTCTCTGCAACAATCTTAACACAAAAACAATATGCTTGCAATGACAAATGACACAAACAAGCTGATTTGTTGATTGACCAATTCACCCCTAGAAGCATTACATGGATGGTGTAGTAGTTCTATTAGTCACATGAATGAAAAGTGAAACAGTTAAATATTCAAACGTCACAAAGGTTGATCCCCCCTCTGTGTCTAAGCTGCACAGTACCAGTAAAGTCTGCAAAGGCACATAGAGGACTTGACAGGATATTACATAACAACAGCTTACCTGGAGTACAAGACCTCTTGAACTGTTACTGGTCAGCTTTTGTTGAATAGTTGTGCCCTTGATAATCCAAGAAAGCTATTTCCAGTCCAATCCTCTCTCTGCTGCGGGTACTCTGTATAACAAAGTGAATGTTAGTCAGTGTAAACGCAGTCAATGTGTATAAAATGAATGCATCGACTACCAAGGAAACAAATGTTCCGATTATAATTATAATGCATGTTTATGTTTGCCTAGCACAACACAATCAATTTCTTAACGGAGAATAATCAATGACCAATGAATCATTAACACACCTGTACGCTGCAGAGAATGGACACTTTGTGTTGTCATTTTCAGCAGTTGGGGGTTTGAGCAGATTGTAGGCCTCCAGATTTTTCTTATCTCACTATTGCATTTGTCAGTCACTTTTTATCTCATGTTCAACAAAGCATGTTTTGTTTTGATTAAAGATCTTTCCCTTTATTAGCAAACACAACGAAACTGATTGTGAAACAGTGGATATCATCCAGTAAAAGCTTTCTGCTCTTCATTGCACTGGATTAAAAAGCCCTCTGGTATTGTCAGGGTCCCATTATTGATCCGTTTACTTCAACATCTAATGCAGTGGATGCTATTTACGTTTTTGCCAGAGCCAACTTGTTAATTTCTCTCTGTTACAAAAGCCACACAACAGCAGTATGAGCAACAACAAAAAAACTGCTGCCTTTTTTTTTCCAGTTGTGCAACATTTTTTTTTTCTGGATGTGTCTTTAAAATGCAGATAAATGATGATGGATCATACATGTATTATGAAGTATAACACACATATATCTATGTGGTGATTGTATTTGTGTTTTGGGAAGAAAGCTCAACTATAACCAACGCACCTAAACCAATAGGTATTCCCTTACAACGTAAAACGGAATCTTTGCTAGAAAACCCCCACCCAAACAATACATCTATATATCATTAAAGTTGCAGATGTATTTCTGTTGATGCTAGGTTTTAGCTGCAAGGTTTTTTCATGAGTATTGTTGTTCAGGGGACTTTCTGAGCTGTCTGTAAACCGCCTCAAGCTAACTTTATCAATCACTTCATGTTTAATGGTGGGGTGCTGAATCTGCAAGTCCCTGCACCTCATTGATAGGAATTATGAGGGGGGGAGGTGCTTTCTTGGAGGGCAGGAAACTAGAGGAATTAGTGATAAATGTTCAAATAAGCTTTTTGAGCAGCTGCTCTGTCCTTGTCTTTTTGTTACTTTAAATGTGAATTACTGCATGTTATTGGTTCAGCATCTTGTGTTCTTATTACATGACTAGACACACAGTATAATGTTTATTGTCACCACCAAAAAAACTAAATAAAAGTAAGACAATCCAGTATGTCCCAATGTCATGCAGTAACACTTGTATACAACATGTAGTACAAATGGGTAGTTGGCAGAAATCCTAATGAATTATCCTGAGAAAACTGTTTTTATAAATGATGCAGATAATGTTAAGGTTTTAGAATACCCTTGTTCACCCATTTTTATGTTTTACCTAAATTGTGTTCGACCTTTACCAGTAGTTATTGTTGCATTATAGTTGTGTGCAGATGAAAGACCTTTGTGAGCCAAAGCTGAGTTTCAACATTCAGGCTGGGGGCTAGTTCATTTTTTCCCCAAAGATGGTCAGAGCAGAGTAATGTTTATTTACGGCTCCATGTTTTTGTAAGTTCAGTCATTGCTATTTATACATAAAAATATTGGGATATTTGTGTATTTGTGCTCAATCATAGCTGGTCATATTAAGACTAAAAAATCACAGCAATATTTCACTTTGAGTGAAAAAAAGCATCACTTACTTCTGCCCAGAATCGACTATAGACTGTTTTCAAATCCTTAATATTTGTACATCTTCTCCAGTATTTTAACTTGTTTGTTTCTCTCTCTCCATTTCCTGCCCCACCCCTCCCTTGTTTCCACTCTCTCAGCCGTGTAGTGTTGCCAGTCTCTGTGGAAGAGGTGAGTAATCATTACATCCATACCATCTTTCATACTTAAAGACATGTTTTCTTTCCAGCCAACCTTGCCCTGTATCACAGACACGCCATGTTGGAATAGTCATATTTCTCTATTTATTTTCTCCTGTACACAGAAGTCTCTTCCACTCAGGCTTTCATCTGAGGCACATATCGAGACAAAATAGCCTTTGTTAGAGAGCACTGGTATTGGTGTGACAGGCTGGTGTTGGTGTTTGCAGAGAGAGAGCTGGACTGGAGTGTGAGCTCAGACTTTAAAAACTACAATCTCTATTATATTTCTCTTATTAGGAATCCTTTTTTTGTGCTTGAAATTATATTTTTTGGTTGCAATTGTGCTCTTTAAACCCTCAAAACTAGATTGGTTCAGTGAGCCCAGACCCCAGTGTGATATCTAGTCGACACTATACTTTTAATTGGCCCTATTTCACAGCATTTTCTAAATTGGAAAAACATGTGATTCCTCATTTAAACTGCCAGCCACATTTAGTTTGCTCTTAATGGGTTTTCTAGAGAATTAGTACAACAACATAAAAACAATGGTATCCGCAGCAGAAGTTATTTTGGATGTCTTTTTGATATACTTAAGAGAAAACATGCATGTAGCTTTTGTGAGGTTAGCCGCAAGTTAATAAAAGGGTGTTTTGAAACCTTTACGGCTCAGCTACCTCATAACTAGAGATGTCCTGATCCGATCACGTGATTGGGGATCGGAGCCGATCACGTGATTTTCAAAAGATCGGAATCGGGACAAAAAAATCGGGGATCGGATTTTTTATTATTTTTTATTTTATTTTTTTAATTCAATGTTACAAAACAAAAATCACCATGTTCAAGTCTTAAAGTCATCCTGAGGCCTTAGTTTTGGTTTCAAATTACACAACATCATGTATGCGTTGCTTCTTTGGGGCTTGTTTTCATAGACCTGCTTATTTCTCTCAAATCTGGCAACAGAGTGGGCAGGGCGCAGTGTCTAATTGTAGCAGTAAGCTAACGAGTACTGAAAGCTTTATTTTGTTTTGATCCAATGCTGCACAACTGAACTGATCCAATGCTGCTGTGAAAAAAAGAAGCTATATCCATGTTGGATAGAATATCAAATTTAAATAAAAAAATAACCTTAAGGGACAACTTGAATGCTTTTTTTTCTCTTAATGCATTGCATAAAGATCGGATCGGGAAAAATCGGTATCGGCAAATTGTCAAAATCAAATGATCGGAATCGGATCGGGAGCAAAAAAAGGTGATCGGGACATCCCTACTCATAACAGTATCAGAAATCCTGGATTATAGGACAGTTAAGAAGCAAACACCACAATTCAAAGGCTGATAAACATACACTCCAACATACCTCATTTAGAGCCTTATATAAAATAAAATTAAAGAAAGTAGTCAGGGCTTTAGGTGTTGATGCAGTATAAGATTTTTCTGTGCAGCATCTAGTGGATGAGAGCGGTAAATATCCTCAAAGCACCTGCCTTGGCTTCAGGGACACGCTCAGTCTTTGCCTGTTTCAGCAATAATCACAGGATTTGTCCCTGCACTTTAATGCTGTATATTCAGTCTTCAGTGTCTTTTTTTTTCTCTCTTCCTATTTCTCACAGTATCAAGTAGGGCAGCTGTTCTCTGTGGCTGAGGCCAGCAAGAATGAGACAGGAGGAGGAGAAGGCATCGAGGTGCTGAAGAACGAACCTTATGAGAAGGATGGGGAGAAGGGACAATACACACATAAAATATACCATCTAAAGAGGCAAGTCTTTCAAACTAAATTGTCTAAGGTTAAACATTGCCCGACTTTTTAAAAAGAGAAAATATTTAAATAACCCTTAGCCAATCATAGGGTGGATACAGTAGTTTGACCGCCTTACACTGATGGCTACACAGGATTGTGTTAGGCTAAAAGTGTAGGCTTTTTGCATGCAGCAGTGGTAATTAGTGGGTGCAATAAATGGCTCAGTGATGAGGATGGAGAGACAGGGAAACATCTGCAGCCTCAATATTCAGAGATAGCACCTTTGTGACCGACATAAACATGTATTACCCATGGTGTTATCAGCTTTTGGCCAACACCACCAAAAAGGTAAATAAAACAAAGCGCTGGCATCAGAACGTGATTGGAATTGTTTCCTCTATCTGGACGTATTTGTTTAGATCACAGAGAAAGGACTATTACCATTTACAGGTATAGCTGTTGTGGGAGCCCGACATTAGGTAGTGATGACTACTCTGTATGCCTTAAGCGCTTTGAGCACCAGGAAAAGCGCTATATAAATGTAATGTATTATTATTATGCCAACATTTTTTCCTTTGAGTTTATTCCTGCTTGATGTTCTCCATGTTTCAAGATGAAAGTTCAAACCAACCTGCAGATAAACACATCACCCTGGATGTTTTATTCCTCTTGAAAGGGTCACTAAGAGTTGCTTTTCTGACGTTCTTTCCCTCCCACTGCAGTAAAGTCCCAGGTTATGTGAAGATGATTGCACCAGAGGGAGCATTAGTTTTTCACGAAAAGGCCTGGAACGCCTACCCGTACTGTCGCACAAGTAAGTTCACGCCGATGAATGAATCATTTCATACTTCATGTTGTTTCACAATAGGGTGCTAGATGATGAAAATGTTGTAGTTAAAGCAAAATCATGGCTTCCTTCAAAGCACATTTTATGAATGTAATACAGTTGTTTTCCTCAACGTTTTCTGATCAATTGAATCCAGATTGTTGATACTGATGCTTTTTTTCTTCCCTTTTCTTCCCCTCCCGCTTTGCAGTTGTGACGGTGAGTTGTTTCTCAAACTTGTTACTCTTTGAAGTTCATGTTTCTTAAGGTTTTTAGCTGACTAGCAGTTTTGTGGTTAGCTCCCCAGCTAGCCTTGCAAGAATATTATTAAACAACATTTCTATGAGCTTCCTCCTATTTTCTCTATTTACTACTACGGGTGTTTTGTTCTCAGGATTGTACATCATTTCATTCAATAAATAGTTTTTAAAGAGGGGGTAAAAAGTTCTAAAAGGATTCCTTACTAACAAAAATGTTTTTCTTTTTGCCATTGATTTCTTTTGTGAGAAGTTTTTATCCCCACAGGGAATGATATAACGGTAGAGGCTGTTACCTGGCTAATAAGCTACAATAGTTTGCATGTAGGAAGTTGATCATTCTTTTTAATTTGAGGCTAAAAGTGTTCAGATTGACTCTCCCCCCTGGAGCTTCCCCTTATCTCCTAGGGGGTGGTATCACACATACCACTATCTGTCTGCTGACACTGATCCCTGTTGCTGTACATTACCTGCCAGCTTACACTGTTACGAGGGCTTTAAAATAGATCTGAGCCGAGCAGCATCACTAGTGATGTTTCAGTGTGACCGTTTGATTGGTTAATTGGATTTAGCTGCAGGGTTTAAGCACAATCGCAGAATCGTCATTTTACGGTGTTCTCTGTGCTCTTTTGTCCTGGCCCTTTGAAGCCAGCTGCACTTCATTCAGTTTACCAGTGGTACTTTTAAAAACTAAAGGCCAAGTTATCTTCATCCCTCTTGATCAAAGTGTGTCTGCTTTCTCCTGCTTTTCAGAACGAGTACATGAAGGACGACTTCATGATAAAGATCGAGACGTGGCACAAACCTGACATGGGAACAATAGAAAATGTAAGTGACCAGGGTAAACGGTGTGGAGGCATGTTGGTGTTAAAAGGGTTCTTATTTTGGTGTTGCACTCTTTTCAAGTCGGGAGAAGATTAAAAAAAGAACAGCAGCAGAGGCTAATATGTCCTGACCTTCAGACACTAGTATAAGTCACAGTCTGGAACACTGAATCCTACATTTCCCATAATACAACATAAGAGCATGTTTCATTGGACCATCCCTGTTTGATAAACAGCCCTTTAAAAAGAGTTTGTGCCCAGTTTATAAAGCAGGCTTTCTGTTATGCATTTAAGTCTCCAAGTCCAAACGCATATATTGATTATTCTCCCAAACTCCCTGATTCCCCTCTGAAGCCCCAGAGGACGCAACACAAGCTTCAAAGTGTGAAACAGGTGGATTCCCACATAAGTAGAAAAAAACATCTTAATAAAGTTTCAGAAGAAGAGTTGAAGTTCCAATACACTGCTGTGGTTTTGAATCTCATTAGATTTTCACTCGACACAGACCTCCTGAAGGGAACAAAGTGTCCCTTGTGTGCTGAGCTGAGGTGTACATGTTTCTCTTTGTTTTAGGTCCATGACCTGGACGAGCCAACATGGAGGACGGTGGAGGTGTCTCCAATAGATATTACCAGCAAAGAAGAAGTGGCCCCAGGGGTGAGGTTTTTTGTTTATACTGGTGTTCCTAAAAGTAGACCCTCCAGAAAAAAACGCGGGCTAAAATCCTTGATTATGCGGGCTAAATTCCTTGATTATGCGATTAAATATGCGGGGTTTTTATGTGATTTTATGCGGTGAAATTGCGGGAAGTTGCGGAAAGTTGCTAAATATGCGGGGAAAAAGAATAACAATTTTTTTAAATATTGGGCTGTCTTATTTATTCTCTCTCACACACAACCTGCCTAACTAACGTTAAACCCCTTTACTATTCAATTAAACACATTCAATGTTTATTTATTGTAAAAGCAATTGGGCTATTTTAATCTCACACACACACACTTTTTTTTCTCTCAACTTTGTGTGGAAAA